AGATTAGGTTTGACAAGTAACCAGGATTTGGAAGGATTGGCAAAGTAACCGTAATGGTAACAATAGATGTGACGGCTATACATAATCTACATTATTACTATTATGTATATGTACGTATGGTACATGAAATTGATTGACATGCACATTAAGCAAAATCTACATGCATGTACGGTAATTGAAATTATGAATTATAATCATAATTAATATACATGTACTATAATTAATTCTTAAAATTTTGATGCATGTACATCTACATGTGATAGATTGGTTGCTGTCAACAAGTTGCCTTGCGTGTGAACTTTAATAATATACAATAATCCAGTTATGCTCAAACTTCAATACATGTATTAATGGGGCAAGACATTAGTAACACAAGTCAGGTGAGTGGTCACAAAGACAAGATGAACCATGAAATGTTCTACATTCATTAACTTAATAAATAAATCATTGAATGATTGAACAATACATGTAGAATGATGTACATGTATCATCAATATAAAAGCTCTACATAATACTCAACTATTGACTGTACACATTTTAATTGGACTCGCCGCGTAGGCGAGTATTAGGTAGTTTGGTTGTCTGTCACCATGAATTTTTAATTAGATTTTTAAGAAACTTTTTAAATTAAAAAACTAAGTGCTCTAGGCTTATAGATCTTTCTCCACAGCTACTCCAAGCCTTAATTTATCAGCTAAAAATGTTTAAAGAGCAGCGCTAGAGAGAAGAAGCTCGAAAAGTAAGAGTGAAAAAATAAAAAAATACAGCCTTTATGCTGACACTCTTGAGATAGACAAAAGTATTTTCCAGTAGAAAACTACCTTCTAATTCATTAATATGTGTAGAACTTCTTAATTCTTACTTGGTAAAAACTTATGCTCCAAACTTCATCCTGGCCGTCCGACTTTGGGAAGGGTTGGGCATAGGCGTATTTGGACCCGGGCAAGCCCGGGCTTTGCCCGGGTAGAAATTGGCAGTGTTAATGATATGTGACCATAATTGACAAAAGGGCCCTTATGGCGGATTTTAAAATTGATCGTTATAATGGAAAATATCAACCTGTGAGTGCTTTGTTAGACAATCATTGTTTCCAAAAGTTTCATAATAACTTTTTGCATCCTGTGGAGTAATTTTATAATTAATGGGGCTCAGGAAGTTGGATTTCTTAGGCTAGAAAGACAAATTTCACTACCCGCCATAAGGTCCCTTTTGTCAATTATGGTCACATATTCATTGGCTACTCTTATATACATTTATACACAGTATTGTGACAGTAGGAGGACTGTTAACCACAGTGATTAGCACAGTTGACCACACATTCTGTATCTATAATATGTTTAATTGATTAACCACATACATGTTGCACGTGTTTATTTAAAACAAAATTAGCAGCTCAGTTTAAAGTTATACCATTTAAGTTTACTGAAAGCATGAAAAGGTCCTTGAAAGATTACTGGTCCAATACCCAGTCTACAAAGAAAGCTTGTGTGAATGGCACAGTTATCAGTTCTGATCATAATCCTGTAATGAAGTGACTGGACATCATTGTTTATATTGTGTGTGTACTGTATATACTGTGAACCTAATGCGCATGCTCAGTATGCATGTGGTGATTCAATGAATGTATGGCTCTCTCTCTGTCTCTCCTTTCCTCTCGTTTCACTTGTTTGTTGTATTAATATGATCTTCATTACAATCCTATAACTGAACCAATTGATGGTATGTTTACACAATTTTATAATATTATAGCATAAAATATGATTATTTCACTATTCAGAAATACAACCACCATCAACTTCACAATCTTGTCGCACTGCTCCTGGTGACATTGCTGCTGATAAGTCACAGTCCCCTGTTCAGCCCATCAAGTTTCCTATCACTGTTTTTAGGAAAAGTGGTAGAGCTTTTCAAGAGAGGTGGTATAGTCAATATGCATGGCTAGAGTACTCCAAAGAGATGGATGCTGCCTTCTGCTTTCCCTGTAGATTTTTCCACCAGAGTTCTGATGCTACTTTTACTGAAACTGGTTTCAAAGATTGGAAACATGCTTTGGGTAAGAAGGGAGTAATATCCAATCATTCAACAGGCAAAGCACACACAGAGGCAATGATAACATGGAAGGAATATGAGAAGAGGAGTAGAACTGGGCAGACGATTGGTGTACAGCTTGATGATATGGGTTCAAGGGTTATATGTGAAAACCGCAAGTATGTCGTCACCTTAATGGAGGGAATCCTATTTTGTGCCCAACAAGGCATTGCTTTTAGAGGTCACAATGAAGGTGAAGATGCTCTCAATCCAGGTAATTTTAAGAGTCTTATGGCTCTTCTGTCTCGCCACTGTCAAGAAGTTAGCCGTAGGTTCAATGATCACATGATTTATTCCTTTCAATTCAGAAAGCCACAGGCAGTAATGAGGTTAGGCTGAAGAAGCTATCAGATACGAGATGGTCCTGCCGTTATGATTCCATTGTAGCAGTAATAGCAACTTTGCCAGCAATAATAGCGACTCTTCAGCAGACTGTTGATGAAGAAGATAGAGTCAAGGCAATTGAAGCTACTGGAATTCTTGCTCAAGTAAAGTCTTTTGACTTCATTGTTAGCCTTGTCATCTATAAGAAAATAATGGGTGTATCTGCAAAGCTTTCAGACTTACTTCAAAAAGAATCTCTAGACCTTGGGACTGCTGCAGGGCTTATACAAGGTACCACAGATACATTTGAGATGAT